ACACGAGACAAATAAATTGACAAGAGACGAGATACAGTTTTTAAAAACTTTATTGAAAACCAGTGACAAAAAGAGTCAAATACACAGCGATTTGAAAGGGATGGAAATTAGTCCTCCTCCTTCTCGTTCTCCTCTTTAGAAGATGAATAAAAATTGGTTTCCAAAGTCTTGGCGTTTTGGTCTGTAATAGCTCCACAATCGTGACGCCGACGAAAGCCCTCTTTCATGTAATTTATTAATCTTCATCTTCGCCCATGGAGTACTTGTAAGGTTTGAATTTCTTATGCCGACGTTTCTTCAGCTGTTTGCCATGAGATTTATGATCATCCAAATAATTTAGAAAGTGAATCCGACGCCTCTTGCGCTTCGGGCCTTGTTGTGATGGGGTTTCTACTGTGGGAGGAGGGGTCAGGAAAGCAGGATTTAAGGGTGGTGGAGGGGTGAGGCTTTCTTTGTCAGGTTTTTTTGAGAGATAGCCGCTTGTGTTAATTCAGGTGTTACATTAAAGGGGTTGAGGGGAGTCGAGAATGCTGTCGTTGCTGTCGAAGAATCTTGTGTCCTTGATGTTAAGTCTGGAACAGTGCTGATTATTTCTTCCGGTCGTGTTCTTGTATTTAATTGTTCTTTAAAAGCCAGGTATCTGTTTTGCAAGTGAAGGTATCGTTTAGCTTTTTCATCGTCCCGAAGATCGTTTCGAGAAAGCACGTCATCCATGTTGCTTTGTATTTCTTGTATAGCTGGAAGAAGCGGGACAGGCGAAAGAGTTTGCTGCTTCAGATATTTTAGAAGCTCTTGAGGAATATTTTCTTGAAACCCTGCTTGGTTAAAGCCTTCTTCACTGAGCAGGACGTTTGTTCGCAACCGACAATTATCTTGGGTAGTAGTTTTCAGATCAATCGGAAGATAACCAAAAGGTCTTTTTACAGCCTCTTCGTACTGATTTAAAAAGAAGTCAGTCTGCCCGGGATGCATTTGCTTCGCTAGAGTCAAGATTTGCAATTTGTCTCGTGGATTCTTGAATAACACCAGATAATGGCTGTTTAGGCTTATCCTGCGGCTACCTTTCCCCTGATGAAATAGATTCTGCACGATATAAATCACGCTCAGATTGCGATGATGAGAACCACGAGTAAAGAGGTTCACAATTCGCTTGTCTTTACTGGCGTCGATCATCTGATCATCAAACACGATCAAATTCCGTTTGTTCACATCAAAATAGGAATCCTGCTCTAAAGCCTTAGGAATTCTCTTGACGAATTCAATGTTTGGCATGGCGACTAACATTTGTGTATACGCAGGCTGCCATTGTGAAAAACACCAAACGATCCTCTCCGGGGGAGGGTAAATGGTCTCTGAAGCTTGTTGCAATAGAGATCGAACCCAGGCCGTTTTTCCTGAGCCGGTCATTCCGGCAATCATGGAGGTAAAAGGATGCTCGAAGCAAAACCGCTGACATTTCTGTGAAAACGGAACTGTTTTAAATGGTGTGAGACCAACATTGTGGTGTTTAGACATCACGTGCCTTTGCATGCTATCCTTTCTACTAAATGATTTTTCGCAGACATAACAGAACCAACTCATGTCAACTCCTCAGGAGCAGAATGTAGACTGAGAAAGAGGTAGAATGTTGCGCATTGATATAGTTTTGAAGGCTATAAAATTCAATAGTTTTCCTCCACCACCACCGCCACCGCCACCACATTTCTATTGTTTTCCCTCCACCACCACTACCACCACCACCGCCACCACATTTCTATTGTTTTCCCTCCACCACCACTACCACTACCACGGCCACCACATTTCTATTGTTTTCCCTCCACCACCACCACCACCACCCCCGCCACCACATTTCTATTGTTTTCCCTCCACCACCACCACCACCACCACCACCACCGCCACCACATTTCTATTGTTTTCCCTCCACCACCACCACCACATTTCCATTGTTTTACTCCACGACAGTCAATAAAAGAATGCAAACTACTATCATAAGTTCAGTTTGTCGCAATGTCTCAAGTTGTCAAGAACAATCGTGGTTTTCTTCAATTCTTAGCTGTTTGTCCAGCTCATCAGCGACAGTTTCTTTTACGGACAGCCAGTCCACAACAACTACATGCATTAGTCCAAGTCTTATACAATATACTTAAGGAATACATTCTTATCCCCGAAGAAAATAAGCGGAACGTGTTGCCATATAAGGATGCTCTAGTAAACCTAGCAGAAACAAATGTCCCTTACAAAACAAAGAAGCGAATCCTTGTACAAGAGGGTGATGGTTTTATTCAAGACCTATTGGTACCTGCTGTTACAAGTCTAGGATTTTTGATGCTATAAAAGAAGAAACGAAACTATAAGTTACTCATTTGAAGCTACGGTCTGTCACTGTACTCATCAAAATGAAGAGAAAGATAGATTTGGTTGAAGAAGAACACGAGAGTGAACATGAAGAAAGCGAAAGTTCTGGTGATGAAAGCGAGGATGAAGAACCAAGAATAAAAGATGTTTTGAGTCATCTTTCCCGAGCAGTGTCGGAAAAGCGTGCTTCTGAATTGCTGCATCGACCCCCAGTGGACAATTACTTCGAAATAAGCGCACTATTCCCGTCACAAACATCGCCGAGCTAGTTGAGTATGTGTTACTCCCTCATAACAATGAGGTTACCAAGCCTCGTGCGCTGAATACGTTTCTAGATGGACTTGCAGAGTTAGGAATCGATAAAAGTTTAATCAAGAACAAAAAGTTGTTAAGTGATTTAATAGAAAAGGAAAAAGGCTACCGAAATGTAGAAAATACTTCCGATAATGAGAGTAATAATGAGGAGAGTTCATCGGATATTGAAAATCAGGGGGAGGAGGAAGTGGCTTCTGAGAATGGCGCTGAAGTGGAAGACACCCAAGAGAGCGACAACGACACTGAAAAAGACAGTCAGGAAATAAAAAGTAGTAGCCCTGAAACGTCCACCACCTTTCACTCGAAAAGTCCCTGTGAATATTGCGAAAACTCTAATGTGTACTCCACATTGATCATGAAATGTCCTAAATGCTTTTGGCACGATAACTACAAGATTTGTCCCATATGCGATCACCAGATCCCCGAGGAGAGAAAATACATCAAAGAGGGCTTTCTTCGGTGTCACGATTGTGGATTAATTACACACAAAAACGCCAAGACGTTGGAAACCAATTTTCATTCACCTTCTAAAGAGGAGAACGAAGAGGAGGTCTAATTTCCATTCCTTCCAAATCGCTGTGTTTTAATTGATCCTTGTTAAGTTATTTGTTTTATAATAATACGTCAATATGCTCCCTTGAGGTTTTTTCTGTAGAGCTAATTTGTATTCAACTTTGGGCTTGTGAACTCGCATAATTACCTGATTAACCGTGCGTGAAAATGACAAGACTTCAATAGTTTTTCATGTCCTCGAGATAGATGGGAGAAAGCAGTTCTGTAATAGTCAGACAAGTTTACAGCTGGATTCGACTTGCATGTTTGGAGCAATGTTTTAAAAAATATTGGTGATAGTAAGACTTTTTCCTTAGGAAAGCGATTTCGAGAAGGAAATACTGAAGGGAAAGCGCGCTTTTATGTTAAACACATAATAGATTGTTTACTATCCAATCAGGGTTTAAAGAGCCCGGGCAAGTCTAGGCAAGCCTTTTGTTCCTATTGAAGTAGAGTGACGCTCATTAGTAAACCTATCCACTTCATTATATATGGAGGAAGACACTTAATTAGTATGCAGGAAATCCAAATTAGTATGCGGGAAGGCAGTGAGCAGGCTTTTTGCGTTCAAACAATAAAAATACGGCAACCAACCTGAATGCTTCTTCAAACGAGACAGCCAATGAGCGTCTTTCTAGTTCCGGTCAACCAATCAAAACAACTATGACATCATAGTACCCCGAAATACATATGACATCATCTTCCGAAAATAACTAAAACCTGTCAAACCGGTTATACCAACCATGACCGCCACAAGATAAAAATAGAACATGACATCATTGATAAACCCGTCAAACTCGATATACTTAATAAGACTCCACCGCAAGTTAATGAGAATCCACCGCATTTTATTCATGAGATCAAGACAATAGCCTATGACGTCAGCGACGTTAATTTATTCCCCCTCACCTTAATGAGATCCCCCCCCCAAAAAAAACCGGAGTAAAACATCCCTCCTATACTACTGTTTTCCATCGTGGTACTTCATCCCTCCAGCAAGATGGCTGTTCGTGGCATTGGCATTCCAGTCTTTAATCACTATAGGGTGAAAAGGAAAAAGGATGTTAATTCTGGGTGATTTAATTTCCTTTAATTTTGAAAAAGGGAATCTATAACGAACTGACGGACTGTAGTTCATCGGCGGAGGCTGCTCTTTGTTGCTGTCCTTTTATGACAGCAAATGCTGCTGTTTCGTTATGGTTTCTTATTTACCTTATCTTCGCGGTGTGTTCCACGGGTTCGTGTTTTGAACATTTATTTCAGACAGTAGTTTTGAACTCAAAGTAACGTTATTTAGAAGTTTTATGTTTGTGATGGAAAAATGGCGGAAATCGTTTGAGATGATGTATAGGATATTTATAATTTTAATAATTTTTGTGTTTAAATGAAGTATTTGCATATTAGCTGTTTAAGTTGTCTTCTTTGAAGGCGAAATGGGGGGCATTTTTAACCTGTAGCACCGTGGGAGCGAATTTCGAGAATTTAAGCTTAATTGTCAGTACTTGAATACAAAATGCTTAAGTGCGAGAAAGAGCAAAACTAGTACTACTAATAGGTTCGTGTCTTGTGAATAATAGGTTGGCAAAAATTAGAATAAGCCTTTTTTATACAAGAGACAATTTATGACATCTGATTCTACGTTATTTAACCATTGGCAGACTCGATGTGTCAGATGGTTAATGAAAAGTGGAGAGTTAACGGTGTAGTGGAAGGTAAAGAACGCATATAAGTTGGTTGGCTTGATAGGTCAGTTCTACTCTGCTTACAGCTTCGATGTGAGCAGAGTGTTAACCACCTGAAACGTTTGCCAAGTTTCAAACCGTACATTTGCCAAGTCCCTTTGCATTGGGCTCCGAACAAATGCAGCACACTCACCGGAACGTCCACCAATACCATACAGCCAACTTTCAATGAGACGCTCGAAATTCCTTTTGCAAGAACAACTTAGTAAGGCTCAGTATCATCAAGCTCTGTTAACCGCCTGAAAAGTTTGCCAAGTTTCCAACTGTGCATTTGCCAAGTCCATTTGCATTGGTCTCCGAACAAAGGCAACACACTGAGTACAGTCACTAATACTGTACAGCCAATTTTCAGTGGAACGCTCAACCTTCCTTTGCACCAACAACTTGGCACTCCATAAAGACACTATCATCTCACTAATAAACAATGGCAGTCTCTTTCCCTTTCATCTTCAAAAGTCTCCTGTCGTATGGGTAGCTATCCAGTAGCCCTTTCCACATCATGACTTTGTACTTAACATCACACAGAGCAACAATCCCTGCTCAGCAGTTTCACTAAATCCAAACAACGGGTTTTGTGCTTTAGCTAATCAAGTTTTCTCTAGAAGAGTACAGTTATTCAATTAGTCCTGATATAACGCCTCTTCCAATTCCCTGTGTAAAGCGCTTCTCAGATGCATAGCCACCCCCCTGGGATGCCTGCACTTCACATTGCACAGGGGACAAACTACTTCCTGAGAAAACATCTCCGAAGACCTGAGGAAAAAGGACAATCATCAATAATCAAAGTAGTGCTATAGCGATGCGAGTCTTCTGATGATATCTTTATTGGCCAGGGTGAGTTATTTGCTTGCCAATAATTTAAGTAAACATAACAGGATTTAGAATCCCAACTGAGGAGGCAAAGCATGCAGTTGGCTATATACAAACGTGATCAAGGATTTAAACTCGGTACTACCCGGCGACAACAAATCCAGCTTGCGGTTTTAAACTCAGGCAGCTGGTTTTGCAGGATGTCCGCCAAGTTGTCCCCCACAGTTTCAGTACCGCATGACAGAGTTTACGTGTGCTGGTAGTCCTGCTTCATCGCAGAATTACACCGGCTGTACTTTCAACTTTTTCTCCCAAGAAAATTCAATGCCTCAGCCACAACCGCAGAAGAAACGAAGGGCGTATATTATTGACTCAGACGACGAGGATTAAACTTTGAAGGAAACTATTTTTGCAGTAACAAGCTTTTAGAACTGCATGAACGTTTGCATGAGTGAAGTGTTTGCACTCCAATGAGTTTTTTGTAACGCTGTGGCTATATGGCCGGTAACCGGTCAAGGTGTTGAAAACAATAGATGACCGGCATATATTCTCAGTAAATTTAACAAAACCGAAAAATTCCAGCTAATCTAAACTACGATATATCGATTAAGAAAAGTCAAGCGATCCAGAAATGCTTTAAAGATCTCAAGTCTAGCGTTTGGTTTACGCTATATAGGCTCAGAAGACGAAACCATGTTTTGTGACTGTTTATAAATAGATCTTTTTTCAGCTTAACTGCCGGTCAAGGTTTTCAAAACACTAAATGACCGGCAGTCCAGTCTTTTCAGTAAATTTCACTAATCGAAAAAATCCAGCTAAACCAAACTACCATATGTCGATTAAGAAAAGTCAAGCGATCCTGAAATGCTTTATAGATCTCAAGAAGATAAAACCATGATTTTTTTTTTACACTTAGGGCCTGTTTACAAGGAGAGAGGGTTACCCTTGTGCTATAGGGTTACCCTAGCAAGCGGGTTAAAGTTAGCTCTGGTTTACAAGCAAATTTCACAGGTAGGGTTACCCAATCACTCGGGTCAACTTTACCAGCTTTGCTGACGTGTTTCATCATGCGTGACATTCTTTGTAACGTCCAAAATTTGAAATAATCTTGATAAACTCAACCTTCGAAAATCGCAGGTAAGTTAGTAAAGAAAAAAAAAGAAAAATTCCCAATATTCTTTTGAGGTCAATAAATCCCCGCCATTGCTATTAAAAAAAGAAAATAGAGGATGTAGGAACTGGCTAGCCTTGCCCAAGTCTTCAACAGCGACATTCATTATAACAGAAATGGCCGTTTTCTCACTTGAGAAGGATTATTCGTGTGAGTCTCCTTTCAACAACCTTTACTGAAAAAAGTCGTTTGGTGCCCCTAGTATGAAAGTTCCAAACGATATAAAAATTCATCACTAGGCATGAGGGTCTCAATGGGGTGGTGGATTTTACGGTTATCGGCTAAATTTTTGGCTCTTTTACGGCTATCGGTTATTTTTTTTCACTTACGGTTAACGAAAAAGTTTAAAATTAACTTCTTTTGTTTCAAAAAGTTAGATATTAATTAACCTGTATTTTTTTGATTAAAGATCTTCGGATCATCTCGGGATGAAATAGGCTATTCTCTTGAAAAATTTTAACGTTTGATAGATTATACTTTTTATAAAGTATTCAACTTCTAATATTATTTTACACTTCGAAATGTCAATAGTCAATTTAAAAATAACCTTTGTGAAAAAGCAAAAGCAGTCACACGAACGCCCAACGGCCGGGGCGCGACATTCATTATAACAGAAATGGCCGTTTTCTCACTAGAGAAGGATTATACGTGTGAGACGGGTTACGCGTTTGATGATTCGCGTCAGATAGGTAATAAGTATTAGTAAGTAAGTAAGTAAAGACTTTATTTTATGAGGGTTAGCACGAAATAGCCGGGGCTAATAAACTTGTGGCCCTCTAAATAATAAATAATAAAATAATAAATGAGTATACTAAGCTGTGAAAAAATACAAGATTAAAACCAATTAAGAATACAGATACTATAGAATCTACTAAATTATTTAAAAGATAAAATATAGCGTTATAATAATCTCACAGTTCATCAAGTAACTTAAATAGAAAAATGATCAAGATTCTGCTGTTTTTTAAAAAATTCATTCCACAATGC